TGCTCGAAGGGCCCTTTTTCTACATTTTCTACACACATGACACTATATTGTATCTGCGTTGCATGCCCCGCCCCCGGACAACTCCGCCTGTTTTCGTCAACAAATTACACAACAAATTACATGTATATTGTGTTTTTGTTAGTGCAGTTGCATGCCACTTTTTCCGCTCAGAAGTACACGGGAGCGCGGCTGTAGGGTGGTTGTATCTGAGTGCCCTGTGCTCCGTCCGCGTTGTCCCCTAAGTGCAGCGCTTGCGTCGATACCGTGGTTCTCAGCGAAACACGTACACAGTGTTAGAGAAATGAGAAGACCTAGACAGGCGGCGCGTTTGGCTATGGTTAGGCATGCGGCTAGCTCAGGCGTCACTCACTGACCTCCAGCTCCATTCCCGTGCTCTTTTAACCGAAGAAAGTGGCACGGTACTGCAGCTGCGGACCCATTCTCCCCACACACGGCAATTGCCAGGTTTCGCGTAGGTGAGTGTTTAGCTTGTCTTCGATTACTGATATGTACTACCTCGAAGGGCGCAGTGTCCCTCTCTTCGAAATAAGCATGTTGTGTCGAACCCATTCTCCCCACACACGGCCAAATGCCTAGGTTCCAAAAAATTACACTAGGCAAAATCAACTGTACCTGTTCTAATGTTTCTCTTCATTTGAAACCACTAGATTGTGCTATCTTCCTTAGCTTACTCGATACTACGGTTTTACTGTTAAGGTGCATGCGTGATTTTGCTTCACAAACGTTTGCTTCGATGTCTTCTCCTCATACAATGGTCCCTTCCATGAAGTTTATGGCGGAACCACGGCAAACATTTGAGCACTTGCAACATCATCTTGAGCCATTGCAACATCCTCAGATCTCGATGCCTATGAAAGTCATGGAGATGGATCATTCCAATGGGCATCAGCGTTATGTAAGTTGATTTTTGTTGAGAACGCTGCATTTTCTTTTATTCATGTCTTGTTCAGCTACTCATCACAATCAATATTGATGAAATGTGATTATAGGTTCGTATGAGCAACGGCGAGTTGGCTGAGATCAATGAGCAATACGTAATAGCAGAAGTGAGTCGTACATTTTGAGTTTGATGAGGTATCCCACAGGGTGCTATTAGAGCTAGGAAATGCTATCCAAGGCGAGATTGTACAACGTCATGTCATTTCATAACACGTCATGACACCTGGAACGGTATTCCGATATAAGACAAACTGTTAAGTCCAGATCCGTCCATGCTGGTCCTCGAAGTGAAGTGAGGGGCCACTGCTGCTGATGCGTAGCATTTTTCCAGGTGAAGAGTGCACGGCAACGGGACTGGAGATTGGTGATACCTTGGTGCTGTCTCCATACCCAGCTCGCCTTGCAGCACGCCTAACCATAGCCAAACGCGCTAGTTGCTGGCCCCTTTCATTTCTGGTTGTTCTCTACGACAGCGTTCAGACTTGATGGGTTTTCAAGCGCAGTAACACGCATTGCTGCGCTTAAACGCGCGTTCCCGCGCTTGAACACGCGTTGCCGCGCTTGTAAACACGTTGCTGCGCTTGAACACCCGTTTCTGCGTGTCAGAGCCTGTTCAAGCGCTTTGACACGCTACAGTTACAAGCGCGTTCGGCACTATTGTACTATTCCTACCCCAGTGACCTCCTAAACATGGATATCACATCCGCTTGGACCCGAAACCGCCTGGCGCCCGCGCCAAAACACCCTAAATCACCAACCATCGATGAAAACTCAAATACTGTAGTCTGGCGCCGCGTTCAGAGTGAGCATGCTGTGGAGCGCAGCAACACCTGTCGCTGCCGCTTTAAGGCGTTGCTGCGCTGGGTTGCTGCATAGTAACGCATGTTAAAGCGGGCGGCTTTCTTGAACTATTCCTACCCCAAGTGTTAAAGCGCTTAAACGGTCTCTGACACGCAGCAACGCGTGTGCAGGCGCGGCAACGTGCGTTCAAGCGCAGCAACGCGTGTTGCTGCGCTTGAAAGCGGGTCAAGTCTGAAAGCTGCCTAACGCTGAGTGCGTGTTTGGATGAGGAACTGATATAGACGCGAGCGCTGACATTGAGAATAGCGCGCCATTCACCTCGTATAACTGAAGGTTCCTCAGAGGTGCCCTTCCCACGTGATCTTTGAAACCTTGGCAGGTGCGGCTGCGCATCTGATCATAGATTCACTGCGGAGCACGGATACCCGGGTTCCCCCTCCCACTTTCGTGCTCTGTACCTGAAATTGTTCAGATGAGGCGTCACTGGTCTCGATAAGACGGCACAGACAAGGGATGCATTTCAAGGCGTCGTGCAGTCCTCGGGGCCATCTCAGGCTACCTGTCAGCCAAACCTCTCTTCTTCTCTTTTTTCCTTATTCTCCTCCTCTCAAAAACCTGGTCTGGATGCTACAAGAACATGTATCTCTAGCCTCCCAGCGAGGGAATATCCATTTGACAAATGCCCTGTAACCCCGGGGGGCCTCTCTGAAGTCCATGAGCACCCTCCTCCTGCAAACCACATCTTTACTTTGATTGTAGGATCTACTATTAGTGTTATGAAGTTAGTTGTTTTTCAGGATGAAGAAGGACCTGTTGGTGAATATATAGAAGTGGACTACGTGGATGAAATAATAGATGATGGAGAAGGCAA